TTATTGTTTATTGTTTTATTGTTTATTGTTCCACATAGTTTATTATAGATTTTCACATATTGTAATATTTTATAATTTCTAATTATAATAAATATAGTTTATAATTATTGTGCTTGTTGATAAATAAATGAATAAGAAATTCATTATTATTTTTTTTTCTTTATAGAATATTTCTTTCATTTGTATTTTATATTCATAAATAATTACAAATTATTTTTAAACTTAAATAGTAATATTTTATATGTAATATTTATATATATAATATTACTATTTATTATAAACGATTAATATTTATGAAACTTTTTTCAGAATTTGATTATTACATATATGTACGTAAAATAAGCGTTTCAAATCTACGCGGTACAGACAGTGCACATGCGCATAGCGAACAAAAGTCATGTTCTATCTTTCCTTGTCGCACAGATGTTGGGTACACTTTTGGATCACGGGAGATATATGCTATTCTCCTTCCATGTATATAAGTTCTATGGATTTTCCTGTCATTGTTCCACATTGAACCGCTAGGTGGCTACGTGTTGAAAGACTTTAAATATACATATATATATATGCATATATATATATATATACATATATAGAAATTTTATTAAAATTTTATTGTTCTGCGGAACTTAATTATAAATATTCATTTTTTAAAGAAACTTAATTTTTTATAAAGACTGGAATACATTATTAATTATTTTTTCTGCAAATTTAACTAAGAATAATTTGTTATAAAAAATAAAAAAATATTTTGTCAGTAATATATATTTTTATACACAATGTTAAAAGTTTTATTTTAAAAAATTTGTATTATTTATGACTATAATTATATATAGATGTGCTTTAGAGATTCATCATCTATCCTTTTCTATCCACATCTATCCACATCTTCTATCCTTTTTTACTTGGGATCTTGCACCAACGTGACATCTTGTGTGACATGCCTTAACTATGACATCTTGATCACAGATTTTTTGATAGAATACAATGGTTGTGAAATCACCTTATATTCTTACACCGTGATTAAGACCGAAGCATAAACCAGCCATAAAGATCTCGGACCGATTTCTAGCATCGTGGACATTGGCCTTTACAGTGTAAAGGCGGGAGCACAGACTTTTGCATAAAGCATAATGGCCGGAGCACAGACTTTTGCATAAAGCATAACGCATAAGCATAAGGAAATTGATTGGTCCATTTCCTTATGCATTTGCTTATGCTTATATATAGACCAATCA